CCCCCCCCCCTTTAACTGCTTAGGGTGCTCCGCTTTCATCATGGCTGATGGCTTGCTCAGCAACTGCTGGCTGGCTGGCATACATATAGCAAAAATGTTCCCCAGGTACCTTGTAGCCTTCTCCTGGTTAGTGGCCATTTCTCTGCTAATGAGCAAGCCCCTCAATCCCTCCCTAGGTCCCTTTATTCCCATGGCTGGGGCTTCTGGCTAGGGGAAAATTCCCTCCCAGTCTCCCTGTTGCACCCTGGGGTGTTATCACCACACACTGCTGAGGCTTCTCTTCTTTCTCCTGGAGTTTTTTCTCCTTCCTTGTTACAGCCATGCTTCACCACTTGACTACCAATGGCATCCATGGTGAGCCTTTGAATCCTCAGGCACAGAACCATCCCCCCCCCCCCCAAACCACACACATACACACTTCCCTCCCTGTTGCCCCATGCCTGCCTGTGTGCTCTTCTTAGCAAACAGGGTGGCGTTTTACCCATTACTGGCCATATGCCAGCCTCCCAAACTCCTTCCTGGTTACTGACCACGTTAGCTAATGAACAAGCTAACTCCCTGTTGCCCCATGGCAGGGCTCTCCTATCACCCTGCTTCTGACTGGTAGGTGCCTCCCTGTTACACCCTGGGCTGGGGCAAAATTAATTATTGATTACCTTACCAAGGGCATGCTTGAGTGGGTGGGTTTGCCTGCTATTCTCAGTGAATGCTTGTATTGATACAAGTGTAACTCACTCGGTTTTGTTAATGAAAAGAAAACCAAAAGGGTAAATAAATAATGGATCGTTGAACAATGATTCCTGTGACTGTCTCTTTTCTTTTATGAGACTAGGAGGAAAAAAAATTTGCCTGATAATACACCAAATACTTACTAAATCGCTCTCTCTCTCTGCTGCTTCTTTTGTGGGCACAGTCCTCACCTCTCCAGACCCACCCCACCCACTACACAGCCGCACAACATATGCCAAGCTCCCCATGAAGAAAGAAAAACCATGAAGCAAGCATACCACACATATAGACAAAAAAAAAAAAAAAAAGTTGCAAAGCTTTATTAAAAAAAAGGAAAAAAGGGAGTGCATAGTAAAAAAAAAACAACAACAAAAAACCCCCAACATCTAAATAATAAATAAAATAAATACAACAAATTAAATAGTAAAATAGAACAATAGTATTAAAAAAAGTTGGGGCAGGATTCTTAACTTACTAACTTTTACTACATCGGCACTTTCGAAATAAGAACTCCTTCTAAATGGTCTTCCTTATTGTTCTTCTGTGAGATAGCTGCAGGAAAGGGGGGGGGGGGGGGAAAAA